TAGCAACTTTAGGTCGATACGCAAGGTGTCGCAGGGACCGATTGGGCGCATTCTGGTCGACTTTGCAAAAGTGCTGGAGAGTGAGCTGCTTGAGGTGATTAGTGTGAATGCGAGTAAGCATATGTTCTGTGTGGTGGTGGCCTGTCAGAAGAATATGGATGAGGGAGTCGATGATCTATTGTGGCTTGTGCTCTAGGGGCTGTTTTCGTGTTCTGATGTTCTGCTCTCTTGTGTTCGGTTCCAAGGTTGTTGTGGCTCTCTCGCTCGTAGTCACAAATATGATCTGTTTACATGACACATCTCTGATGTATAGGTGCTCGTCCTAACAACAACTACTTACAATGTTCCTAATGGTACTGCGTGACGCGACGCCGAGCGACTCACAACTTCCGAGATTCATATGTACCCATCCAATCTGGTGCTCTCGAAAAGAGAAGTATCGTCAACACAAGAGCTTACAATATTCCTCGCACACGCCCGAAGGCGCTTACTAGCAAGGGCAATATGCGCCCACTACGCATCAATTCTGCGTATCGCTGTTTCTTTTCGCATCGCAGGCTTTGTATATTTCCTTTATTCGTTGTGATGGTGTCGCTATCAGGTGCCTGTACGCGTCTCGTGCAGGTACTGTTAAGTTGCTTGCTCAGTGTCAGCCAAACAAGGTAGCAGTGTATATCATGCTGCACGTTCAATGCCATCTGAAGGGCAACCGCAACGGCTGAGTTACCAACAACACCATGCAGCACATACCCTTACCCCAGAACCCGACGATTGGCTACATCGAAGTGCCCTGCCTGACCGATCAAGAGTACGACGGAGGAGATTTCGAAACGTTTCCCGCGCGACAAGGCTACCCTGACAGGACTGCTCTGGACTGGAAGAAGCTTTTCGACGATCCTTCTACGGAGTTTGTTGCCTTCTTGCAGCTCTGGCAATACTTTGGATTGCTATCTTCAGTCTTCGGGATCACGGCTGTGGAATTGTTTACCAAAGGTGGTGACGGCGGAAGTAGGGTGGTTGACACATCCAATCTAATCGCGATGGTTGACAACTACGTGGAAAATACTCCGGAAGGCTACGAAATCCAGGAGGGAGATCTGATATCTCGCATATATCAATCCAACACGCTGATGGGCAAACTGTTCTATAAAGGGGTCCTATCAATAACAGCTACGACGAACACAAATGGACGCCTAGGATCGGACGTATTATCGCTTTACAAGTTCATGACCACGTTTAACTATCGCAATCCTCTTCCAGTTGATATTCTGGACTCAATCTGGTTACTCCGAGACCTCTTCGACGTCGTTTATATGAACATTTCGTCTCCCTTCACACTTCAGCAATGGCGGCAGCCGGATATCAACGGCCCCGGGAACCCAAGTTTGTTTGTGGCTTCCAGTCGTCTGGGTGGAGCCTACGAGCAACGGATGCTAGACCGCGGTTGGTGTCCATCTCGTATACGAGAATGTTTGATGAAGCTCAGGCTCACGGATCTGGTTCATGTCGCAAACCTTCCACGCCATGAGACTCTCACTCATGAAGCGTGCACTAGAATGATCTGCTGCCATGCCTGTGTCGACAAATCTAGCTATCACACCCGACACGTTACTAGTTGCGACGGTTGCTCTTCTGTTGCTGCAGACGCTAAAAGATTGAGCGTCATTTTGGAGGAAGGCGCTTATCCTGTCATTGACTTGTTCGGTCCAATCACGGCTGAAGAGAAGCTTTGCTTGAGTTCTGTCGGAAATCCAAGGCAGGTCGCTAGTGCTCATCATGCACCGATTTCATACGTGGCCATATCGCACATTTGGTCGGACGGCTTAGGCAACCCTCGCGAGAACTCTATTCCGTTTTGCCAGCTGAGTGACTTGCGGCGACTAGTACGCAACGTTCCTCATCCAGCAGAGTTGGGGCCATATTCATCTTTCTGGCTGGACACAATTTGTTGTCCGGTCGAAGATGGATCAGAAATACAAACGATGGCAATAGCTAAGATGAAGACTACGTATGAGGATGCCTCAGCCGTCCTAGTGTTGGATCACTCACTGCTGACACAAGCAGCACATAATCTCAGTGATGTGGAGATATTATGGCGGATCGTATGCAGCAACTGGACCAGCCGGCTATGGACTCTTCAGGAAGGCGCCCTAGCCCAGAGGATCTTTTTTCAATTCGCGGATGGTCCGTATGACCTTCAGCTAGGGCTTTCGAGGATGATGGCGAATGCAGACCCAAGTATACGATTGGTCGCGCGACCATCGATCGTATACCATATCGAGCAGCTTCGGGTTCCAGTAAATGCCTCCGATCAGGCGGGTGCCTTAACAATCTTGGTCAACGCCGTACGCTTTCGATCGACAAGTGTGGCCTCGGATGAACCACTGTGTCTGGCGAATTTGCTTCGCATTGACAATTCCACTATAGCCCAGGTTCCAGCATCAGATCCAATAAGCAGAATGACGGCTTTTTGGAAACTAGTATCGTACATACCTTTGCCGCTCATCTTCGACGAGCGTGAGAGGTTATCCCAGCCAGGACTTCAGTGGGCCCCCGCATCTTTACTTCAAGATGAAGGCGCATGTCTTTTAGACATCAGAAGTTACGAGTCAGTACAGAGCACAACCGCAAACAGGACAGAAAATGGTCTGTTGTTTCTAGCACCAGGCTTCGTTGTGAGTTCGACTAGTACGAGTGAGCTACCTGCGATGTGCTTCCTCAGAACCACAAATGGCGGCTTAATTTCCGTTGAAACCTATGACAAGCTTCCTGTTCACTGCAATACTTCGGGCCCGTTGATGATTATCTGCCTGATGCGCTTTATCAAGGGCTATGTGGATCAAACCCCTGGACTGGTGGTCGAAAAGCTCGGTAGTAGTTCCAACAACCAATTCCATGCCCGTGTTATCGAACGTGTGAGGGTGCGGATGTTGTGGGAGGGACAGGAGGATGTATGGATGGAGAGTGTGGTCGACGCGACCGTGGTGAGCGAGGAGGTGGAAATACTCCCTCAGTGGATGGAGTGGTGTATAGACTAATTTCAAGCGCTACTTCTTTATTTATGTGATACAATTGCAGATGAGATAATAGAAAGTACAGGATTGGGCGAAGACAACTGGTCATAGCTGGCTGAACAAAGACGCGATGAACAGGTACGAGGTAAGGAAGAAGCACAGGCCGCCTAGACCATGGACATCCCTGTCATGACGGCGCAGCTGTCAGTCGAGATCCGCCATCACCACCAACCCTCAACTGGAGTTTACTGCTATTTCAGTCGTCTTGGGGGCCAATTCCTAGCAGTCGCCATGCCGATTGACCGCCGTACCCGATGAGCTGCCTACGAACCCGCAGCCCGCGCCGCCCAGCCTCCCTACCATGTCCGCGTCGAACATCCGGGTATTCGTACAATGGAAGGACTCTACCGTGTTCGCCGGCGAAGACATAGAATGCACCATTACCTTCAAGAATGTCGCCCCGCCTGAGGGACGCGACCGCTCCCCGGTCCGCAGGCAGAACGGCTTTGCGACGGGCGGGGAGAGACAGCGCAAACTACCGCCCGTCCACTCTTCGACGCGCCCCTCGGTATCCCGCAATTCGTCATTTGCCTCGCAGCTGCCGCCGTCACAGCTTCGCGGACATCGCCCTGCCTTATCGCTACATACGCCATCGACAGCTGGAGACCGTCGATCGTCTGTTGCGCCGAGCATCATCCATGCCAACAACACGGGAACACACAAACATGGGAGATCCGTGTCAATTGTGTCCTTAGGGGCAGATGCGGGAACTGAAGCCAGCCACGAGAGGGGCATACCCATCAGACGCCCGGCAAGAGGGCACGGAAGATCAGCCAGTCTGCAGGTCGTGCCCGGCAGGCCAAACTCATATCCAAGTACGGACGACATATACAATACACGTCATTGGCTAACATGATAGCAGTTGCTTCACCAGGTCATAGATCAGCGACTCATCCATCTCCACTGTCTGGTGAGGCGTCATCCCCACTCGCCCGCGACACCAACGACTTTGCCTTTCCCGCGCGTCAAAACAGGAGACGGCCAGGCGTCACGACCACCCCGAGTACCCCAGCTCTTCCGACGACAGGGCGAAAACCGTCCAACTCCTTCTCCCAGAACTTCAAGTTCCCCGCCGCACCTCCGCCCGACGATGCCACCCATCCGCAGCCTAGTAGCAGCCCTACAAAGCAACCCATACATGTACGGCGCAACTCCCCACAACCGCCGCATGATTACCTACGGTCATCTGGAAGCCACAATCTCGAGGTGCTTTCACCTGTTGCACGGATAATATCTGGGTCGAGCATGAACGACACCCCGCGTAGTAGTGGAGAGTTTTACTCGATGAGCAACAATTCCAACGAGACATTGGCTTCGGAATATGCGGCTCATCCCTCAGCGCGTCTACTACAGCGGCCGATGCATCATCGACGACCTTCGCATTTGGCACCACCCAATAGACAGGCTCTGCCGGAGTCGATAATGATGGGCTATGCGCAGATAATGGGTTCCTTCACGCTGGACGGATCCCTGATCAACCAGGCACCATTCGAGGAGGTAAAGAGGAAGGGAGTAGTAGGCGGCCAGGGCGGAGGTGGTGTCGTAGGAGTAGAGAAGACAAAGCGCGAAAGTGGGCTCTTTGGCGCGCTCGGTTGGGGTAACATAGGAGAGTCGCTGGGTGGACTACTGGGCGCTTCAGAGCCCTCCAGTATCCGAGAGATGCGAGGCGTTGCCAGCTCCAAGACTGTCCCGCTCATCACCACTCCCCAGTCCATTCTGTTCGTCGATTTGCGACTTGCGCCTGGCGAAAGCCGCAGCTACACGTACAGCTTTACAATACCGCGAGGTCTGCCACCTTCGCACAAGGGGCGGTCGATGAAGGTAGCATACAATCTCATCATTGGCACACAACGCGCGGGATCGACCAAAGAACAACAAGTGAAGCATGTGGACGTTCCGTTTCGGGTGTTTGGCAGTGTGAACAGTATGTTTGGTCTGAGGATACGGGTGATGATATGCTAACCCCTTTGCAGGCCGCGGCGAGATTCTTGGACATGATCTAATGTCTCCGTACATCATATTGCGCGATCAAGCTCGAACAGCCAGCATAGACCCCTCGTCGAGCGTCAAACTTTCCCCAGCAAAGAAGGGCGCTTCTTCGGGCAAGTCGGAAGAGAATACTTTCAGCGACTTCCTAGAGTATGTCGACAATCTTCTCGATCGGCCCAGGCACAATTCTAGCATGGGCTTGCTTTCACCTACGGGCACCATGCCTGGGCGCTCAACGATTGCCGAAGGGCCTCAGACCATGAAGGAGGCTATTGATACAGCCATCTTGCGCAGCAACTTGACAGGCGCTGCCAACCAGAGCGCTAACCGCTTTGAGATCGCTCGCAGCGGCCGCCGTGTCGCGGTCATCATGTTGGCGCGGCCCTCTTACCGGTTAGGCGAAACAATGTCTGCTGTAATCGATTTTACAGACTCGCGCATTCCCTGCTACTCAATACACATCTCACTAGAGACTTCAGAGAAGGTTGACCCTGCGATAGCACTTCGCTCGAATGCGTCGATATACCGCGTCACAAAGAAAGTGCACGCATCATTCTCGGAGAATGCGCTGTTTGCGCAAAAGCTCGCCTTCTCGCCTACAATACCACCCAATGCGACACCGGAGTTTATTACCAGCGGTGTCAGCCTGGAGTGGAAGCTCAGAATCGAGTTCATCACTCCGCGACTAACGCATGAGGACGGTGAGGAGACATCGTGGGATGATCTCTTGGAGGAGATATCTAGCGACGACCGGGGTGTCATATTAGCAGCGGCGCAACGATTGCCTGCCGAGAGCTTTGAAGTTCAGGTACCGATACGGGTATACGGGGCTGTGAGCGGGGCACCTGAGGCACCTGATGAACAGGGTCTTCCTGTATGAAGGGGGCCATACAAGTGGCATCCACTACCACCAGCTCCACGCTGAACCACATCGCAACAACTGGGGCAGAGCACTGATCTTCCGCATCTCGCTACCCAGCTTCTCATCAGCCGCTTCCCCTTAGGGCCCATTATAACCTTTTGTACATGACTAGGGTTATATGGCATACATATTGGATATTGGGAAGGAAAAAGGAAGCGTGTTGGAAAGCACTTGTAGTATACCAGCTCATCACTTGAGCAAGTCAGGGGTCTAGGACGTAGGACTCATGGTCGACAGTAATTTCATCTATCCATATTCATTTACGTCCCTTTGTTGTGGCACCCCATAGGCAGAACCAAAGACCCTTGCCCACAGCACAGTTACCAGTACCATGTTCGACACAACGAAAAAACTCGCTTCTGCTTCCCCTTCCGTCACTTTAAATATTTGAACTGTCCTCGCCTTTCTTGTTACAAACTTCGAAGCAACACAACCTTGGAAATACTTGCCCTACTCAAAATGGACTCTCTCTACAAGACGTTCGATTTGAAGACGGCTTCAATGCAAGAACTAAAAGACAAGACCAAGAAACTACAGCATGAAAACGATACGATGGATCTGAAAAGAGTAATAAGAGACAGCATCAGAGCGGAGACTCTCAAAGAGGGCATCAGTCTCAAGATCGAGAATGAAGACGGCAGAGTGTACATTTCCCTCCCTTTCTCACTTACCCAATGAAAGCATTACTAACCTACATCTTCGCTTCTAGTTTCTTCCGCCCAAACGGCACTTTAAAGTGCAATTCAGCACTGAACATCGAGCTGAAGAACAAAGGAGTCAGAGGCGAAATCTACGTGGAACCGGGCGCCTCAAGCTCGTTCACAGGTAGATGGGCCAAAGCGCTTGTCCTGGCAGGAACGGTATATCTGTACCGAAATGAACTTCGCATCATCGGTCGAGGCGTGCTAGCTGGAGCGAATCTAGCTATTGAGCGGTGGGAACAGCGTCAGCGTCAGAAAGATAGTAATGTAAAAGAGAAAGAAGTCGAAGAGGAGAAAGAGCAAGGAAAGGAGAAAGAGGAGAAGGCGTCTGTCACGCCGACTGAAGAGGAAGGCATCAACCAAAGTGCCTCCGCATACCCTCCACACCCACCACCCATACAGCCACCCGGCGGCCTGTACGTATTTTCATGTGTGCGGTGTTCTGACCCAACATCACCTTCACACCCAGCACCACACTGCCAGCAAGCCAGGGAGCTCGTACACACGCCGACTCCTGTTCTCTCTCCCGCTTATATCCGGCAAATGTTATATGAAAGGGAGGTTCAGAGGAGCCGGAGCACAAAGGGTGAGGATGTGATTGCACCTCCAAACACCCCATACGACAGCAGTGGATTCGACGCGGACATGGACACGCCAACCTCACCCCAGAGCCTACGTTGACGCTGGGTCACCTGCTTTGTGGGTTTTTGATTTGATGTAGTCTGCAGACCTGTTCAATCTTTTCGTTTGTATAAGGTGGTTATGGATGTCAGTGAGGAAGAATCAGTGGTCTATAGTGGAACGCGCGTAAGTGGCCATTGGTCTCCATAGACGACTTTAGAGACATATGGAGGAAGCAAGAAGGGATACATATCACGCAGTGTCATTCACTGCACAAGCCATGAAATCACAACTCAGCTCATAACCATATCATTGAAGTCATCATGTCTCGAAAAGTGTATGTAGATGTAATCGCAGTCCATCGCCAAGAAAGCCTTCTTCACAATCGAATCGAATCAGGCAGAAAGTGTGTCCACGAAGCCCGATCATACTCGCCCGGGACCTTTATGCTGGTCGCTCACAATCCATCAATCATGCTCCCTTTGTTTCCTTCGTGTCGCTTACAATCCACCGGGTCCGGCAGCTGAGTGCGCGCTGGCTCCGGCGCCGGGGCCCAGAGACGCATGTGTCGCGTCGCGGTGGGCTGCTTCGCGTGCCTCGCGCTCCTTGGTCTCGGCGGCGATTTGGTCTTCGGTCTTCTTGTTGCCTCGGGCGATGAGCTTCTCGAGGAGCCCGCCCTTCTTGGGCGTGTCGTGCTTGTCTGAGTCTTCGAATTCTTTTAGGTAGGCGACGCGCTCTGAGGGAGGCATCGCGGCGAGTTCAGAGTCGATTGAGTCGCGGTTCTCTGTTGGGGTGGGTTAGTTGTGGGTTAGGTGAGGCTGAGGGCTGAGAAGTCTAGGAAGGCGCGATGTTGGATTGGTGATTTGCGAAGAACATGTGTATATTACATCGTCGAGAACTCGGAGGCGTGACTTACCCTCGATAGTGCCGACATGACCAGCGCGGACATCGTCCTCAGCCGTCTTGTTCTTGCTGCTGCCAAGGTGGAGCTTCTCCTTGATCTTGTCCATTTTCAATTGACTGTTTTAGGTTGTGGATTGGGGTATCGGGGTATGTGTGTATTGTTGACGTGGATGGATAGCAGAGGCAGGTGTTAGGTGTTTGGTGTGTTGTCTAGGTCGGAGGAGGCGCGCGGGGATGAGGGGTGATGGTAGCTTCAGCCATGCGTGTCACCTACGTCATAGCTTCAACATAGTCCAGCTGCCAGCTGCCCTGTTGGAGGTGGATCTAGGCAAGCGCGATCCATGCACTTCATTTCCAGGTTATGCAGCGAACGCCTTGTAGTGGCTTGGGATTTGGTGGTCCTCATTCTTATGCTTGGGCTGCATCTGCCAACGTGGTGTCTGACATCAGCCTCACGAGCGGGACGCGTCGCGGTCACCCTGGGAAGCTGCAAGTGGTAATTATGGCTCTAGCATTCTTGTCCCTGCGTTTCGTATTCGACTTTCGAAAATAGTTCGTAGAATGGCGAGGAGCCATCTACAAGATTATAACTGCGATACCCCAGTGGTTAGACTTCCACGAAAGTCCTTGCGTGAAAAATGAAGTATGCACACAGCTGGAACCATGTACATCAAATTCATCGTAGATGTCTCCACTTCCCGGCTGGAGATTATGATGCCAGTAACCCACAATTCCAACTTTGTGTTACTACCCTTGTCACGATACTGCGTCCCTATCAGCCCTACGAGCCGATCACCCGGGTACTTCTTGGCAGATGCTCTCTGTCTGTCGATACCGGCATCAAGTTGCCTGTGCACCCAAGATATCGTGGTAGCTTCTCCAGTCACCACGATGCAGGAACATTGTTTGGTGAAAGGGCTCCGGACGTCGTGGTTCGCGCATAACACGCTATCGGTGCCTAAGTTGTATGTCTCTTTGGGAATGGTTATTATTAAATTCGGTTTCGTGTGCTCATGTCCAAAATCTCGCCCATTCCTTAGCCACGTGGTATCTCTAGATGTACGCCAAATCCAAACGCCTTATTACGACTGCCGCCCTGGATTCAAGGTCGGCCATTAATATTTATGATGCGGAAACTGGGGTGTCATCGGCGATACGCCAGAGCGCACTCCAAACTCGCCTGTCGCGTATCCGTCGTCGCTAGCTATGCCGCTCACACTGCGCCCTGTGCTACTCTCGGCATCCGCTTCGCGTGGGCCAGGGTATCGCGGCAGCTGTACCTCTCGCCATCTAGGTGTGACTGGCATCATTGACTCGCCGTGAAGCTCTTGTGGTTCATCTGCCATGCTGATGACCGTCTTCTGGTCTTGCGGATATGCATGGCCGACGAACTGTTCATTGGTAGGAGAGGCGAGTTCAGTCAACGGTGTCCCGTGGAGTTCCTGCGGGCCCGCAGCTTTGTGCGGCTGGCTGCCGGCGAGAACATCGGTCCCTGAACCAACTTCCGATATGTGCTTGCCTGCGAGTTCGTATCGTTGCTGTTTTTGCTGCTTGCCGCGACGCTTTCGGAAGAAGAATATACCAAGCGCGACCAGGGCGAGAGCAGCGATTGCACCAACTACGATACCGACAATGGCACCTACGCCGAGACCTGAAGACGAGGACGAAGCTGGCGTCGCAGCAGAATCGCTCGGAGATGTGATCGTGAAGACTTCTGACGCGGGCAGAGGATCAGGAAAGACTGCTTGCGCAACCGTAAAGTTTGCGCGCTCATAGTCTACTATGAGATATGCCTCCTGTAAAAGTGTCCTGCCCAGTGCATATTGTGTGTCGTTCGCGGCGCGGCGAATTGGGAAGTAATTCGTTGCGTTTGGGTAGTACGGGTACGAGGCTTGGAGGTCGAATGCCGCATACGGCAGCTCTATATTGGTGTAATTTGTAGTCGTATCTTCGAGGGAGTCGACGAGCTTGAACGTGAGGGTCGGGTTCTTGGATAGGAGTTCTTCGTGGATCGTGTCGTTGACAAGGTACAAGTCTGTTTGAGGATCGTAAGTCAGGCCAAAGGCTGTCTCGAACTCAGCACACACGTCTGCGGGTAGCCACAGATGCGGGACAGTAGAATCAATGACAGAGAAGTGTGCTCCAGAAGTCAGGGAGTAGGTGCCCTGCAGCGTGTTTGTAGCCATGATCGAGTCCACCCCAACAGTGAGAAGCCGTGAGGGGTCTTGTGAGAAGGTGAAGGAGAAATCGTTCGCGCCAGTCTCGAACCGCGTCGCATCGTAGCCGCCCAATATTAGACTGCCGAATACAGATTTCAACCTGTACTTCGCGCCTGCCGTATACGCATATGCAAAACTGGGGATCTTCTTGCTTTCGCGCAGCAGATAGAGGAACGAGTCAACCGGCTGACTTCCACTGTTGAAGCTGGACTTTGCCTGACCGAGGCCCAGAACTCCTAGATAATAGTCCGGGTCGGCAACGGCAGCGACGACCTGGCGCGTTAGCGACACAGAAGAGCTACTGTCCGCGGCTGCTCCTAGAGTAACAGTATCCAGGCCAAACAGTCCTCTCCCTGTGTAGTTGAGCGCATCCTCCAAATCGACATCGTATTGCCCTATCGCCGACCATGTTGTCGACGCGTCGACCTGGAAGCCGGTGCTTTGCGTGCTTTGAAAGACCTCAATTCCTCGGAGTTGTGGGCAATCCGTAGGGTCGAATCCCTCTAAACAACCTTCTGGCGCAATGACGTATGTGACACCTCCCTTTGTGCTGGGCAGTACACGAAAGTCTTGTCCTGGCGTTCCCACGCTTATCTTGAAGGTGCTCCAGCTCCCATCGGCACCGTCGAACTTATTCGAAGGTGGCACAACATACGGCTCCGGGGCCTCGGTAGCGCGCGGCGTGAGGCGCATGGTGTAACGAGCGAATGGTAGCGAGGGTTGTGAGACGTCCCTACATGGACCTGGCAGCGATCGGTCGACGATTTAGAGAGTGCGAAGCGTGCAACACATAGCGAAGTCGCCTTTCGAAGGACTTGGTAGGCCGGCTTGAGTCAGCTCAGCTACCGGGAATGCGGTTCCAGGGCCATCGGAAGCTTTCAAGGCCAGAGCGGTTCATGGGCGTTTTGCTCCAAGAACCCACTTCAACAACTGCGGGCGCTGCGTGACGATCGCCCACCCTAATTATTAGATTTGCATGGCAGTGCAGCCTGATTAGTCGGGCTGGATACGAGGGTATCATGGGAGAGGCGTATCCGTTGGCATGCTAAGGGGTAGCGCGTCGTTAGTCAGCCTCCTGCCCAATGACGGAGCTCTGGAACGACTTCCCGCTGATCCTCTCAGCCTCCTTTCGACACCATCTCGGCCTAAGCGGCCACGCCTTGAGCGCCTTCGTCATGCGGTTCCAACTTCCCTCTGGATGGCGCTCGACAAATGCATGCCAAAAGTCAACGGCGACATCTCAACCAGTGTGGTCGCATGTCGCATCGGCTAAGGCACGCTGACATGTCACGTATCTCGCACTATCTCGCCTGACATGGTCGTGTTGTTCTTGCCGAGAACCTGAGACGTAGCCCAGCAGTCTCTTCACTTGGCCCTAAAGGGCAAACCCAGTAGTTCGTCGCTCCAACCTCCAGGAGATCGGTTCAAGGCTCGATCGTTCTTGCCTTGCGGGGCAGATCTCCTAGGTGATATAGGGTATGCCGATTGACACCAGGAAATCGAGACAAGCCTCGCATATGGCGCTACTGATAGCTAAGTCGTAGACTGCCACGGTTGCTTCTGAAGTCAATTAATTGCAGGTCATGTCAGCATTAAGCTTGGTTCTAGGCGGACCTACGAGAGCATGCAAATCCAACTGATCAGCACGGCAGAGAGGGTCCAACGATGCCCTGGCAGTCATACGCGTCAACGGTATGTGCCTCGTGTTTCCGCTAAGCATGGCTATGACTAGGGCCGTGCATGGATCGCAACCTGATCATGCGTCCGAATAGCCTTCATCGAATGGTTCGAATTCGACCTGTTTAGGGCAGAAACTGGCTGTTTTCGCTTTTGCGGTACTCTCTTACGTCCACAACGTCTTGCTTGACCTTCACACTGTCACTCGCTTGGTGTAGAAGGCTCATAGCAAGATGCGGAGATTTATCAGTCTTGTCGGGCCTGCACTGGTTGCGGCTGGCTCAGACGTCAATGGGTACAACAGAAGAGGTACGTCATTTTCCCCATCGAGATCATCTAGCTAACATACCCCAGACGGTATGTAGCGAAATTCGAATTGAAGGCATCGTACTAAATGTTTCTAGGCAAGGAGTTTGCAGTCACGACACTTTCGACCAACACTCAATCACATGATTCGACTGCGCCGCAAGCTTCATCTCTTTCCCCCGTCACCAGTCTAGATTGGGTTCATGAGGTGCACCCCTGGGACACACCCACACCATTTTCCCTTGTTCCCCCAGAGATACCTACCTCTCCTCTGGCTCCGGGCTCTACGAATAGCAATAGTACCTTGCTTTCACCAATGACACCGGCAGTCGTCACATCTATTGCCTATGGACAATCGCCGCCATTCCCGAACATCACGTCAGTCGATAGCAACTCTCCGATACCTACTGGTGTGTGTACCGGATGTATCATTGCAGCGTATGGTCCCATTACCACGTCTTACAATCCTGGGGAGTTCTACAACCCATGGACCAGTATAGTGGTAACCGAGACAATTGTTACGGAGTATTCTACCTACTTGCACAACAATACTGTCGATACTGTCGTCACCGAGGAGCGGACTGTCAACCAGACAAAAACTCTTACCCTTGATGAGGGTCAAATAATTACACGTTCGACACCAACATTCACCATACAGCCAACGCCAGGTGTATTCTTCCACCTTGATGCAGGTCCAACCTACGTCATCTACAACCGGCTGTCTGGTGGAGTAGATAAATATCAAGAGGTATTCTTGCCTCAGTATAACATGACAGCAGCAGAATGCTCGTCAAACGTCGCACCTTTAACGAGTTGGGCCCCTGCAAGAACGGCATCCGCAGACTGGAGTTACTTCATCGCAACCTACACTGGAAAACCTCCTCCAAGCCCAGGAAGGGATGAGCCCGTGCCTCTACCTTCCAAACTAATTCAGTATCTGAAAAATGACACAGACATCCAGAGACAATTTCACGGCGCGGACATCGCTACGTGTAGTTACAGTAGACCGCCTGAATCGAATTTACGTCCACTGCCCTCGGGAATCGCCGCACCGGCTGCACCACCTCTATCATCGCTTCCCATCTTCCTGTCGCCCTTGACAGGCACGTATCTTGCGACCAGCTTTGAGTCCACCTCAGTTCACGTCACGGTCCGGGGATGTTTAAGATGTGAAGATACATCTGTAAAAGATGCCGTGGACCCTACGGTCTCAGCCAAAATTGCAGATGCTACTCCAACAAGCGACAACGAGGACGATACGCATAACGACAACTCTCCGTCACCCAGCCAACCTAATAAACCGGCTGAGAATGCGGCCAAGCCGACCCAGGGTGGTGGGAAGACTTCACCGAGCATCCCAGACGCGACCTCGACGAAGAGTGTGACGATTGGGGGAGTGGTTCTACCCGTCAACACTCCCAGACCGACCCAGACCAACCCCGATAGACCGAACAACGATCATCACGATCAGATTCCCCCAGTAATCATCATTGGCACCGTAACAATTACACAAGGGCAAACGAAGACCATCAACGGCGTGCCTGTGGTCGTACCTACAAATGGTGGAGGAACAAGGATCGTTGTAGATGGCAGCACGGTTGCTCTCAATCCGGCAACGACGCAAGGTTTACCTGTGCTCATTGTGGGTGGGGGGTCCGTTACACCAAACTCAAATGGAGAGTATGTCCTCGGATCCGAGACGTTGAAGCCGGGCGGCCCTCCAATCACTATCAACGGGAACACTGTCAGCATGGCTCCGGACGGCATTGCGATCGTCAATGGTGCCACACAAACTATCGCAAACCTTCCGGCGCTTATCGGAGCCCCCGCTTTGACGGTCGGTAGTCAACCCGTCCCAGCAACTGTTGTGGGAGGCTCAACAGTCTTCGTCGTGGGGCCTGGTCAGACGCTTAGTGCAGGAAGCACGCTTGTCGTCGATGGCACGACTTACAGCATGCCGGCAGAGGGTCATGGATCAACTCTTGTCATCAACGGACAGACATCGGTGTTGAACGCTGGACAATCAGCTATTACTCTCGATGGTGGAAGATCCGTTACTGCGCAAGTCGTCAGCGGCATGACAGCCTATGTTCTCGCTCCTGACCAAACACTCACACCTGGTGGCGTCCTCACGATCTCCGGGACAACATACTCCATGCCTACGGGTGCATCCGGTTCTGTCATTGTCGTCAACGGCGTCACATCCACTTTGGCTGCTGGTGCTGAGATCACAGCCGCACCAGCCTTGACCATCAATGGCGTGACGTATGCACACACTGTCCGAGACGGAACGACCGAATACGTTCTGAATGATGGAACGACGCTCGCCCCTGGGTCATCTATAGAAATCGACGGAACCACGTACTCCCTAGATGATCAAGGCACGGCCTTGATCATCAATGGCCGAACTAGCACCATACCCAAGCTACCCAAGAGCAACAGCGCCAGCACGACGCGTTCAGACTCCGCTTCTACAACCAGAAGTCGCGACGCTGGGGATTTGATTGCGAGTGGAATAGGCGAGACGAGCAAGGGAGTCGGACCATCCACACACACCGGCGGTTTGGACAAGTGGATTGAGAGTTTAGTTATTGGCGCGGCGGGATGGCTTACGCTGCTACTGTGAGGAGCTTGGCCGCTGCAGGACTTGGAAAAAATTGGGTGGTAACGATTTGATGCATTATCATATAGCGCGGCGCTTGGTACTTTTGGATGGGAAATAGGGATACATAACGACTTGGGAAAATATTGGGAGGACGACAGTCGGCATTTGGATGGACCTGGGACCTTTTTGGATAGATATTGGTATAATGCGTAATGCAATCAATCTATATACTTGGTAAATCAACTAGAAGACGTATGTAGCGGCAAATGCACGATGGTCCGCTGTTCCGCGCCGTTATGCTCAGGATGTCCTTCGAGCTCGTCCGAGACCTCCGCAACTCCAAAAAGGGTCTCCAGGATGGCGTACTAGCACATACAATCCGTGTGTGATACTAGACAATAGTAAAGACGCAAGTCTTGTCAAGTCAACCGTAACTGCCTCTAAGCTACTTCCCTCCCTTCTTGAACAACTCCCATGCCTCACCCAAGCCTTGCCTAGTCTCATCCTGCTTCGCTCGCTGCTCATCCCCAGTATCACCAACAGCAGCCACACTGCCATCGTATGCCTCGCCCGAGAACAGAACGCGCAAGTGCATCCAGACCGGAACAATCTTCGTCTCCGCACCCTTGACCTTCATCTTCTTGAACAGCTCTTTCGCCATCTCCCCGCATAGGCGCTGAACGTAGTCCGCCCACTTCTCCTCAGTACCATTCCTAGTCCAAGTCTTCCCGAAGCCTTTGCTAGTCGAGTCCATTTCCAGAACAAGAGTAAGGGAGACAAGACCGCGGTAGTAGTTCTTCATGACGTTGTACCCGCCGCTTAGCAACCAGTGTAAATCGTAGAAAGAACGGATCTTGATGTTGAGCTTGGTGACGAGACGCTGACATCCGGTGGGAAACAGCCTAACACTGTAGTCGGGCGGTGGGCAGAGCTCGTTCGTCGGTCTAACGATTTCGAACATGTTCTTGCCGTATAGAATGGCCTTGGCCTCGGCGAAGATCTCCTTGTTCGCGCGGAGGACGTTGATGTTTGTGCGGCCGACGAGCGAGAAGCGGGTTTTGTGGCCGTCGACGTGGAGGTGGACGAGTGCGTATGCAATACCAGGGAGGAACTCGCGGCGCTCGGCGTGGAGGAACGCTTTCTTCTCGTCGTGGAATACCGTGTGCTTCTGACGGACGCAGATCGGGCCAGGAACGACTAGGAGATACGTGTAGATGATGTTGCGAACGGAGATGGGGAGGTTCATGAAAGGGAACGGTTCCTTGTTCGACACGGGGCTATCGATTGCGAGAGCAAGGGAGGCGAACGGATCGTGTTTCTCGAGAGCTGTGGGTTTGGCAGTGTACGAGTCTGCTGGAACTGGAGAAGGGAGATCGAAGTTGCTAGCAGTTGAGGTGCTGCCTTCGTTGTCGCTATTCTCGCGGATCTCGGTGTCGAAGGTCTCCTCTGGCTCGTGGAAGAAGACGTCGGATGACTCTCCCTCGTTGAAGTTCTTTGCGCGTCCTGCCTTGTTGGAACTGGCGTCAAGGTACTCGACGTTGCTGAAACGAACGCGTTTAGCCATACCGCCGGTCGAAGGCGGTGTCATGAGATACGTTGGCGGAGGCGTCTGTGGTCGCTCGACTGGAGGTACCATGCTGAACGTGGATCGCGATGGGTATAAGGAGGATTGATATATGGTGGTTGATAGAGAAGTGAGGCAGGCAAGACGCAAATAGATGGGCTACAGGAGGATATGTGAAGGTGAGAGAGAGCTACAGCGGGAACTAGGCGGGGTGTCTCCACACTCATGGCGACGCAGAGTCCACAGTGTAAAAGCTAAGGTGAGGTGAAGGTGAACGGTGATGGACGGCCGCCGCTCTTTTCGTGGGCTCGACTAACACGTCGGTACAGGTACACATGGTAAACAGTGGGCGAACAGGAAGATGTGAGTGGGTACGGAATTGTTTTCTTGAGAATACAGATTTTGTGGTGATGAGTTGAGCTGATCGCTGGACTACACGACCGCAATAGCGAGCAATGTGGAGGGGTAGGGATGACTAGAAAAGGAGCCTCGCCTGTTGCGCATCCATTTGGCTTCGAAAGCCCGCATTTCAAAGTACCGCCATATAGTAGCTATCATAAATTACAGTGCGAATCTAGGTGCTTGCGGCTCTTCCAAGCTCCACCTGGGCAAGATATTGCTTGAAGGTGGGATGATATCCACGTTGACCTCAACACACCGGCCCTCGGAGTTGAGCGACACAACTCTGCAACAAAAGCGCCAAGTACCTATTCAAACAAAACAATGTAGGTCCCGAAGACTGGATGAAGATGTTCATGGGGTTGCGCTGGTTGGGTGACATTTCAGGTCCCGCGACCCAATCGGTGCTAGTCTCAGCGAGTGCCGAGCCGGGCTCAGAAACCTCATCGCAGCATCCTCAACTGCACCCGCGCTCCGAACGCAGCCCCATCCCGCAATCCATCTCCCCTCTACCCACCATGTCTGCCGCTCGTGCCTTCAGCACCGCTTTCCGGGCGGGTGCGCCCCGCGCCCCAATGGCCGCCCGCTACGCTGCCACCCGAAGCTACGCTGCCGCCGCCGCCCCGACTGGCTCTGCCAACAAGCCCCCGGTTGCCCTCTTTGGCGTCGACGGAACCTACGCGAGCGCTCTGGTACGATTCCCACGACTCCAATTGGCATACTCGCGATGATACGAGGATGGAAAACGGGCCAATGGCTGGGGAACAAGAGCTTGGCTAACAATTGTGGCAGTACACCGCGGCCTCCAAGACCAACGCCCTCGACCCCACCGCAAAGTCTCTCCAGGCTCTCCAGGGCGTTTTCCAGAAGGACGCCAAGCTTACCCAGATCCTCCACGCCCCCTCGCTCTCCGTCTCGGACAAGCAGCAGATTGTCCAGGAGCTCCAGAAGCACATTGGCGGCGCCGACAAGGACGGCATTGTCAAGAACTTCCTCAGCACACTCGCTGAGAACAACCGATTGGGCGTACTACAGGGTGTCGTAGAGAAGTTCGGTGTGCTCATGGGTGCGCACCGTGGTGAGGTCGAGCTGACCGTCACCAGCGCTGCGGTACGTTGATCCTGAGATGGGATGGGAGAACAGAGCCCAGGGATAAAAAAGGGAACTGCTGGAATTCAGAACTGACAACGTGCAGCCCCTTGACAACAAGACCATCAGCCGCCTCGAGAACGCCATCAAGAACTCGCAATACGTCGCCAACGGCCAGACCCTCAAGGTCGTCCCCAAGGTTAACCCCGAGATCCGCGGTGGACTCATCGTCGAGATCGCCGACCGCACCATCGACAAGTCCGTCGCCGCAAAGATGGCCAAGATGAACAAGCTCCTCAAGGATACTTTGTAAATATAGAGCGAGAGCGCATGGCGATGGATGTGAGGGGTAGGCATGTGTATTCTAGATGAGTCTTGGAAAAGAGCAATTAACTACCGTCTACCACCTGGCGACGCGCCATGACCGACTGATGACTTGAGCTTGGATTTGTTAAGAAATACATTGGAGCAGCTGATATTATACAGAAGACAGTAAACTATCGCCCTCGTGGCCCTCTAATATGTGTAGCAATGAGCGTGCTCTGTCAGCTCACCGGATACCGTTTCAACCTGTCCAGAACCGACGAATACCAGCTACAGACCGCGCTACAATACGCCATCACACTGGCACAGCCCCCACGTCGACCTAGAGAAAAAGTGAACACCCTGGGGTCTACATCGATGTTAACACACCCACTTTGCATGTACTCATCGTAATGTAGTCTGTAGACCTGTCCAGTTTTTCCCTTGTATGAGGTGACCTCCACCTACCATACGAAACCCCAAGACGCTCACTCAAACGCTGGCCTCTTCACACCTTGCTTTCTGAGTTGAAGTAACCAACTTTCTGAGTTGAAGTAATCAACTTTCTTCGAGTCGAAGTAATCAACTTTCTTCGAGTCGAAGAGTCCTGGAAAACGCACGCGTATGCTCGGTAGCACACACGGCTCATCTCCATTGGCCGCAGCCCACGCGGCAGCTTCGGGTGGCTGTGGTACCACCAAATTGTCGCTTGCCATTGGCATACCAGTTTCCACCATCCAGGGACATTGCGGCTGTTCAACAGCTCGGAAAACCCACCCTTGCTTAGTATACAAAGTTTTGGCCAGGAAGGCATAATACTTTTTTAGTAGCTCGGTGAGGCGTTCTAGGGTATGTACCTCTTCGGTGGTTTCCTTTCCGGGGACTTCGTAGTCGGGCTCGATCTGCGGGAAGTTAGCATCCTTCATCAGTTGCAACGTCAAATACTGTTTCTGAAGCGGTTGGATAATATACGCAAGGTCACGGTGTACTTACAATTGTCAGAGGGAATTTCATAAGCGAAATGGGCGTCGCTTCGATCTCGTGGATGTAGAGTGTTCGTTGGTAAGGTAACTCTAGTGTGGACGCTGACGTTGTAGTCGTATCTGGCGACATCGTAGCTGTGGTTGAAGACATTGCAGAGTGCTTGGTTGATCGTGAATGCGTGCGGTGAATGGTATGTTCTGGGAATGAAGAGAAAGTACGCAGAGTTCTTCATGGCTCATATATGATGTTCGCAGTGAATTCCTGTCTCGATTCTGGCCATACATGGTTGAGGTTATCTCAACTATGGTTCACCACCACAGCGCAGTGCAGCCACTTGGGAATACAGCGGCGAAGCACATCCAACCAAGGACCTCAGTAGGTGCACCATCCTATTTTCGAGTAATCGATCTAATTTGATTGGGTATAATATCGCACTGCTCGAAAACAACGAATAGCAAGAAAAGGGTATCAAACTGCACCAAAAAACAGCAACCTCTTCCTCAGGCTGGACACAGCCTTCTTCACCCGATTCTGCCTCCTCCACCTCCTCGCACCCAGTTTCACAGTGAAAGAACGCCCGTCGCCTCCATACACTACTTCAGTCTCTTCCCTTTTCAGCCAGTTTGCGTAGTCTTCGGAATCCGAAGAGTCTGGGGACTCTGAATGTTCGATCGCAAGACCGCCTGTGCATACTAGTTCCCCGTCGATGAAATGGGAGGATAACGGCGTCAGGTAGTCGTCTGTGAGGGGATTTGATGGGGATTTATCGTTTGAAGTGGATAGGTCTACTACACTGTCGTTTCGTGGTGGTGATGAAGAGGTTGTGGTAGGTATGTCGAATGCAGCATCCCCATAGTGTGTCTTGAGCAGGGTATCTAGCTCGCTTTGGGAGGAGATAAGAGTTTTGCTGCTGGTATCGTTGGTAGCCTAATTTTACTTATTAGTTGATCACTCTTTCATGTTGCGGTTGCTTAGGGTAGAAAGGAGTATACTTACAATGAGAATGGGGAAACGGAGACGAGGGTCATCGAAACCTGGTGCTAGAGTGGCGATATGCCAGGTCTTTGGGTTGTGCGATCGTTGCGCGGGCATATTCATAGTTGCTGATTTGAAGGTATACTGATTGAAGGTAAAGTTTGTTCGTTGCAGTCCAGCTAAGGGTATGAGTTTGAGATGGTGTAGAAGATGGGCACCAAAAAGAATATTTGAGAGATAGAAAGAAACCTTGGAACGCATGCCACATATTTACTGTACGTGTCTCTAACATGACTCCGTACTATCATATTGCTAACTGTAGTTCACTCATAGGCTCACGTGTAGGCAGACGAATGGAGGGACCATGGTTTTGGAGAGGAAAAGTGGATCAGCTCGTGACGTGTATCACGATGTCGCTAAGGAGTGGAAAATCAGGCGAACGGCGTCATGGGATTGCGCATGGGATCGCCATAGTCAGCATGGCAGAAATATGGACATAGCGATGAAACACTTTGGGTGGAATTATTTGAATTCGAATGTACGTGTGTGAAAACTGAAGCCTAACCTCCCTCCAATGACCAACCGACCAACTTAAGCCTGCCAAACATACTCCATGCCAACACAAGGCTCGACGCCCACCTTCTCGTCAACATCCATGACAGAGTCGCCATCCTCGTCATCCTCATCGCAGACAGTGCCCCCGGCAAAGCTGCCTACATCTTCCATGATGATTTCCGACCCCACATTCTCATCCTCATCCCCATCATCGATCCGCGAACAATCTTCACTTCCCTCACATCCACACATATCATCCCACTCCTTCTCCCACGGCCCCAACCCGTCAAAAATACTAACAGGGTTGACCAGTAACTTCTCCCGGGCTTCTTTGCCTGACCTGCCCCTCACTTCGCGGCGCAAGTTCGCTACATCACCCCAGCCGTAGACGATTGGGTTGACCTCGATACCCTCATCCATGACCGTGGTTCCGATCTAGTGAGTAGGCGTTAGCAAAGCTCGACCATAGTCTGGCGACTGGGAGGGCGACTTACGATTTGTGCGGGATAGGAGGCGATGTAGTCTTTATCGGGTTGCCATTTTACTAGTATGCCGATGATGTGGTATTGTGGTAGGACTTTTTCTTGTTGCCTTAGCTCGTCGGAGGAGGAGTCGTCGTCGGAGTCGAAAGGCGTCTCGGAGTCTGTATCGCACTCCGTGTCGGACGTAGCGTAAGAGAGGGCTGAGAAGACTCCCTGAGTCTTAGCCGATTTTGTTGTGAACTGTCTCGACATGATGTAGTAGATTAGGACTGATGTGATATTGTGTAGGAACTTGTGATGGGGATGTGTAGGCTTTTCAGGACAAAAGGTTCAAGACGGAGATATACTTTAGATAACTAGAGGCAAACCATGGGTCTATTTCTGACAATATGTCATTATTGCTCACGTATCGTAACGCGCCAACGAGAGCGAGAGTGTTTCTAAAGGTGGGGCGCGAAAGCTAGAGTCATAGGATGCGCAATCGACTTGGTTAAACTTCACTGCAGCTTGCAGTAATTTCTGCCATGGTTTACTTGCCAGCGACACAGACTCACCTCAACAGCCATGCCTAAGAAACCAGCGATGCAGATACCTCCAGAATCACTCACACTAGTCGCGCCCAGGCTGAACTCCCTATCCTCTTTCGGCACGTTATCCGTAATCTCGGCAAAGGTGCTGACATAGACCAGCCCGCCTAATAAGCCTTCCCAGAAAATGATTACACAAACGATGTAATAGCTCGGGATAAAATTGAACATGGCGTGCAGTGTGAGGATAATGAGATTGGCGACTTGAAGAAATGACGGGACGTAAAGGTGGTGTATGCGTATGAAGGGCGTGGAGGATCGCGAGATGAAGACACCGACCTGGTAGATGGCGCCATAGGTGCTATAGAAGGAGCGGTATTCGTCGAAAGGAGAGGATTCGAGAGGGAAGAGCAGAGTGGGTGCGACACCTTGGTTGATGGTATACTCGGCAATGTAGACAAGAAGGAGGGGCAGCATGCTGTGATGAATTAGTCTGGAGCGGATGAGGTTTAAGGATCGGGCTTACTATGGGAAGAACAGGCCTCGCGCGCGGTTGAGGTTTGCGCGAAAGCTGCTCAGCGCACTGTTAGCACCGGTGTTAGTGACAGAGGGGAAACTGCGCCCTGAAGCCGAGTGCATAGAGGAAGACAACAGGTCGTCTTGTTCCTGCGCCTGGCCTACGTCCTCTTCGTCGTCGTCCCCATGGTCATCGATGGCTTCGTAATCGCCTTGTTTCTGGATGCCAGCGCGCAGTGGGCCGAGCGGAAGGATGACGAAGAAACTCAGCACCATGATCAGCGGCAGGAAGGAGAAGACGAGTAGACTTGTACGAGGGGTGATGCCGAGCGTGTTGGTCGCAATGGCATAGGCTCCGGCACCGATCAAGCCGGCGCCTCCCGTGCCCGAGCCCCAGGAAGCCAGAGCAAAGTGGCCGTAGTAATGTGTCAGGCCAAGGAAGCTCAGTTCGCCAGCTCCACTGCTCAGACTGGCAAGCATCACTCCGCACATCTTGATGGCGATGGTCCCCGAGTCCTGCAGTGGAGGCGTGAGGGCGATGATGAGCATGCCGCATACGGAGAGACCGAAAAATATGAAGATGCGCACATTGTAGGGGATCTTGTGGATGAAGTACGGGGCGCACAATTTGGCCAGGAACGAGGGAATGACATCGGCGAGGAGCACGACGCCTTTGGGGACATTTGGGCCGACGAGGTCGAGGGCCGCGGAGAGGATGATTACGTAGAGGACGTTGTTGATGAGGCCTAGGCGTGTTAGTCGCGGTGGACCGGAAAGTGTTGGTGCCCCTCTTTGGGGGTTCAGGTGCATGCATACCGAACAACCAGAAGGCGGCGCACACGCGTGGGTCGGCGCCATGGAAGACAGCCTTGAGGCGCGCGCGGTAGACGGCCCAGGAAGACGCGGGAGAGCCAGGCATGGGGAGGAGCGGCATAGGATGCAGAAGTTGGTGTTGCTTCACATATCGCAGGCTGGAGGGTGAAAGCTACGGGCACGTGTCATGCGCCTCAGATGACGAGGGGCAGCTGCTGGCCGTGCCGGTGTTGATGGCTGGGCTGGACTCGGACATGGATGGGTGCACCTGCCGATCGGGCTTGGCGCGAGGCGGTCAACTGGAAGGAACGATTCAGGAACAGGCTGCATGGGAACGGGCGTCGCATGTTCCGACGAGCATGGGTATTTCTTTTTGTGCGCAGCGCGGGCAGTCTGGGCGGGGCTACGACGAACTATGGCCAGGGGCTCGCTGATATACGCATCATCATGCGCCAGAGGGCTTTGTGTCGAGCAAACGTCTTGTGGCCTTGTGGGCGTGGTGTAGGCGCTTTGTGGGCAGCAGCCCTATCACATCGTCAGTGCCTGCCCTCTAGTCGGGCTCTCGCTTTCGCTGCATGCGGGGCTGCGCTAGAAACCTACAGGGATCGTGACGCTTGGTCCCATTGCGCCTTCTCGTTTCCTCGCATGCTCGAGGCTTCTTTTCTTCTGCAATACTGCTGCTCGCTCTGGGCCGCACCCCTCCACACGACGACGACCATTGTACTCTCCATACTACGCTAGCGAGCGGGAGTGTATACTGCTATCCCGTACTTGCGACACTTTCATCCTCACCACCTCTCCGATGAGCCCAAGCCGACTATGGACCGCCCGCCGCCCTACCAACGACCACCAGATCGCCCTATGAACTACCACCCGCAGACGACGCAAGCCTACCCAGGCCACCCGCCCGCCTCACAACCACAATCGCAACAGCCACTCCACGCTCCGTATGCCGTCGACCCGTACTCGATGCCCCGGCGCGACCCATTCTTTCCTTCGGGACCACAACACGTTCGACGCAGTAGTCAAGGACTACCGGCTGGTAATAATGCGCCGCAAGGCCAGAATGAGGGACAAGGGCAGGGTGGCTGGTCAAATACAGGTACGGGCTACCATTTCCACAAATGTCTTGGAGAACACATCTGCGCAGTACGCACTGAGGACGGCGGGTCTGTGTAGCCTGGACATGGATGTGTACAATTTTTGTAGCTCTCACCAGTTCACAAAAGGTGCCCAAGCCATCCAGGCTGCATTTTGACCTGTATGTCTCAAGTCTGTGGCACCGCTCGCGTGGCTGTCTGGTGCTCGAGGAAGGCAAGAGACGGTAGTGGGAAGGCATTGCCTGCATGGATGGCTGCATGACACGTCAATTGCGAAAAAGCACTTCACCGCCTGTCGCCGTCATATCGACGCAGGCAAATGCAGGCAGTCTTTCCTTACTAGTGTCGCCATGCCATCCCGAGCCACACCAACATCTGCGTTGCTCAACGGTGCGCGCCATTTGTCGGTGGAGATGGCATGGGTCTGGCGAATTCTATGGCGCACTCCGCAGATGTGGCTCCTAGCTAATGCACGATCCGCGGGCCTCTAAACCTCTTTCGAAAAGTCGCGACTCGCCGTCCGAGCTTGTGCTGATCCATGTCTTTAGCGCGACCGATACACTACGAGACTCATCACTCCCAGTCGCACCCTCCACCGCAAATGTCCACTTCCAACAACCCGTCAGCCCCGGCGCCCTATAGCTTCGATGCTGCGCGCGCCTCGTCGCTGAACGCTGCCAGTTCGCCGAACCCCTATGGTACAGCCCCGCTCCCAAAAGCAATGGTCAAGCTTTGTCCCAAACTAACTCTCCTCCAGGCCCGTCTCACGAACCTCCACCTCCACCATCCTTCGCGCGGCCCCAAATGCCTCCTCCATCCTCCCCCACACAGCAGCATCTCCATGCATCCCAGTCGCAGCGTCCACAATACACCTCCAACTTTGGCGCCAACAGAGAGCTTCCTGGTCTAGGTCAGGCGTTGCGCCCGGGAAGCAGCATGTCCATCTCATCTCTTATCGGCGGCGGCGGTGACACAGGTGCACTCAACCAAACAGCGCAATCTCAGCCTTCGCCTCCCACCAACGCCCCAGTACCCAACGGCCACAGCATGCAGCCACCTTCGCCTCGACGTGGCCTGCCCGCTGGTTCACGATCGGATTTCCCTCTGTTTCGCCGTCAACCCACCCCAGAACGCAACATGTACGGCAGCAATACCTCGCGACCATCTGAAGGTCATGCCTTCTCGGCCGGCTCACCGAGACAGTCCTACAGCAACCATGGCTCGCCTGATCCGGGCCGCCAGTCGCTGCCACCAACGACACAACCCTACAAGCCCATGAACTTCGCCGGCCACCGCCCCTATGCGCAAGATACAGCTCGACAGCCTGCCGGGAATGTCCCACCCCGACCGAATAGCCAACCGATGGGCCCTCTGGCAAACACCGAACAAGAGGGCAGATCTTCGTACGACGGATTTCCAGGCCGGCGCAACGCTTATGGGCCAAACGAGGAGCGGCGACGCACACTGGGGGAGTCGCATCACGCAAGGCCCAATGCTGCAGAACTCTTAGCAGGCACAAACCACAATGCTTCTGAGAGGGATCGGCCCGTGACTGTTCACCCTGTGTCGCAGTCTGGCTTCAGTCCACCTCAGGCGCAGCGCAACATCTCTGGCTCATCCGAACCTCCACGCAGTGTGTGGCGGCAATCAGCGCCCACTGGTACTGTCCATGAACCTCCTCACGACAGTCGCGCAGAGGAACCTCCGCCGATGCATCGCACCTATGGCCCGTACCCCCCATCCATGCTGGGCGCTCCCCGATACGGCGCCCAAAGTTCAGAGGATATGTTGCGACGCAGTGTAGACCAGTTGGGCCATCGCGTAGTCGAGCAGTACCACGCTCCTCCCACCTCCGACCCCAACTCCCTAGACCGACAGAGGACCGAGCCACTCGCACGCTCTCTATCCTCCAGCGGAAGATCGCTCTACGATCAGCCTTCCAGGATGGGTGAGGCTATGCAACACTCGAAATCGCACATTGGCTTTGGTTTGGAGGCGAGCAGACGAACGGGCAGAGCGTCTCCGCTTCCACAGGCTGTTCAAGGTGCCTCGGCGCAGCCCTTGTCCGTTGGCAAAGATCCTGGAATCAAGAGCGAATTCGGGCGCATGTTCTCCGGTCTCGGCAGCGGGCTGGGATCGACGACCCCATCGCGGGGAAGTCCCATGCCACAGAACGGCCAGGGCTCATTCGAATCGGACAACGGCGAAATGATGAGAAGAATTGGGTCACAGCAAGGAAGGAAGCCGAAGCGAGTCAAGGATGAGGAGGGGATCTTCGACATCGAGAATGCCGATGGTAGAGGAACACCCGGTGCGCGTGGGACCAAACGGAACAAGCACCATCATCATCAGTGAGTTCCCTCATTGCCATACAAGATGCGTACTAACAGCATAGTCACCACCATCACCACCACCACCAACACAAGCCTGACGAAGACACGTCGATCCAGCCAACCTCAACTACCATTAACGGGCGACACCCCAGTCTACCACAAGCTGGCCCAGGCCAATCAGTTCATCACCACCACCACATTGGAGGAAACCCTCATCACCATCATCACCACCACCACGCCCCTCGACCTAACCTTCAGCCGTTGCAGCAAGTAACAAAGATCCTGAACAAGGTCCATGATGTACAGCCTGTTCTTGACGACGCTGCGAAACGCCCTCGCAAACATCTTGGATCACAGCTGTACGATGCAAAGACAGAGCTGCCCAAGCCCAACTCATCGCTAGATGACCAGTTCGGATACGCCTCGAAACCTCAACGGCTGCCTCGTTTCGACGTCAATCCCATCAATTGCACCTTTACTATCAGAGTGCCGCGTTACTACCTGAAGCCACGACAACGCCAGCACGTCGTGTTAGAGAGGCATCTTTGGGGTGCGCGCGTGTATCGGGACGATTCAGATCCTATTGCTGCTGCGATCCACTCTGGATGGATCCGTGGTGAATGGGATGAGACTGTCGACGTCACTATGCTCGACCCACGCATCACTGCGCCCAACGACCCAGCCGATGCTGCCGACGTTTTAACAAAGGTGCCAGCGGCCCCTGTGACACCACCCGCCGATATGGACTTGCAGATTGAGATTCTCATCTTGCCGCAACTTCAGGAGTACACCGGTTCGGTCGAATATGGCATCTCGAGCAGGAAGAGCAAGGCTCACGAGGGTCTCAGCTTCATGATCAATAAGATTCGATGGGTTGAAGAAGGCATCGGCAGCCGAGGACAGGAACGAACAGCGGCAGCATTGAAGCGGCGATTGGATGCCAGCGCGACTCTGCTTGCTTTGCAAAGGGGTATCGACAACACCCACAGGGTCAATGGCATGACCAAACTGCATGCTTGAGATTTAGTTGGATGGATCAAGGTCCATGACATATAACGGCCGTCTGGAGAGCGATTTAGCATGGCATTTGTAGCGCAGGATGATTTTAGCATTGCTAGATACCCGCATCTTTTATAGCTTGACTCTGGCGTAGGATTGCACATAGCGTCGGCGAATTCTGGGAAACGATGTAATGAGGTGTTGCACACGACATGAAGAAAACTTTTACTTTTCGCATTATCTATCTGTGTCGATGAGTGCTTTTCCAACGGTACGCCTATGGCTGCAATGCGTTGTTATCAGGTCAGCCACACGTGGGGAGAGTGGTAACCAATCCCGCGGCGATCACACACCGCAGTACCAGAGCGATAGCGGCCTGGACGTACCCCGGGCTTGCGTGTACGCACCTTAAGCAAGAGCAGTCTATCCCATTTGCGTGGTGTGCATTTGATCCTTCAACCTCCAACGCCCAAGCGACAGATCGCGAGGTACACGATACAGTACATTGGCAGCCCACTGCCCCGCCACGACGAAAGCTTACGTGACGCCCTCATCACAACGCGTACAAGGACTGATGTCAACGATGCATCACCGGACTTACTCCATATCGACTGTAAGTAGTCTTTTTTCCTTGCTAGGATCTCCAGGATGCACCATTGTTTTTTGCCGATTTACGACGACTGGCGCGCGACTACGACAATGTAAAGAAATTTCGCTCCCATCCATCACGTCTTTCCGGCAATCGGCGGCTTTAGGCAGGCATGTTTCTGGACCCCCTAGCTATGCTGCTGGAGCCATTGTCGTCATACCGCAGAAGCAGGCGGCATCATGGCACACGATCCGGAGAGCTCGCAGCAGCATGGCAACGGCTGAGCGTCTTGGAGCTGTCCTGATGGTGCCCATTGCTGTGGGCAAGCACCAAGGAATGCGCATGGGCAGGCGCCAACGACGACCGTTGTTTGCGCTGTCACGACTGCCGGACATGTGGACACATTGGACTGCAGCCACACGTGCTATCGAATGAGAATCACCCGTTACATCTGCTCCACTGCGCCCGCTAGCCTGGAGCCGCAATCCGAACGCTTATTGCTCTGGCTTGTGAAAAGAAGGACGCCGTACCGAATGCGGGGGAATCATCGTCAATCAATCCATCTCCTCTCGCTTCTTGACTGCCGGGCCGACCTTACGACCCTGCAACACGACACTCGACGTCCATACACTTATTGCTTCACCTAACAGACGCTTCAGCCGTGCGACTCCACAGCCTTCTGTTGACCGCCTAGCATCTGCCCTTGCTGCATCGTTGATTAAAAGCCGCATTCTCGCTGCATCTCGGAATACCTTCGGCTAGATTTCCGATCCATATAACTTTTACTTCGCTTCGCCAGTCGCATCGTCACTGGATTTCAGGGAGCTGGACTTGCCGCTACAATGACCGACTCCAATGCCGACTCCAATGGATTCTATGCGCCCAATATGCGCGCGGTGCCCGCTGGCGACTTTGTAAGACCAAGCAGAAAGACTAACGGTGCTGGTGTACAGGCCGAAGACACGCGGATATGCGTCGTCATGGTAGGCTTGCCCGCGCGGGGCAAGAGTTTGATTGCACAAAAAGGTACGTTTCCCCTGCATGGTCTGGTTTAACCACTAATGAGTTGCAATGCAGTGGTTCGCTACCTCCATTGGTTATCGATCAAATCCAAGACGTTCAACGTTGGCCAGTATCGTCGTACTGCGACCCCTAACCCCTCCGCCGAGTTCTTCGATACCTCCAATCCAGAAGGAGAGCGCCTCCGGAAAGCAGCCGCCGAAGCAGCTGTTAATGACATGTGCAAATGGTTTTCTGAGGGCAGGGGCTTGATCGCGATACTAGACGCCACAAACTCTACCAAGAGCCGACGCAGGTGGATACAGGAGCGATGCGCTGCCGAGAACATCGAGACACTATTCGTTGAGTCAAAGTGCGACGACGAAGACCTCATCATGAGCAACATATTGGAAGTAAAGACGACGTCTCCAGACTATGTCGGTCAAGACCCCGAGGAAGCTGCAGCGGATTTCCGCAACCGTATCCGGAACTACGAGAAGGTGTACCAGACCATAGACGAGGACGAGCGCGATCTTACATACGTCAAGCTCATCGACGTGGGCAAGCAAGTCATCATTAACCAGATCCAGGACTACCTCCAGAGTAGGGTCGTCTACTACTTGATGAATCTCCACATCAAGCCGCGCTCGATCTGGTTATCACGAGTAAGTATATGTTGCCAACCCGTGCTATGAAAACTAATCGTGGCAGCACGGTGAATCCGAGTACAACCTCACGGGTCAAATTGGAGGAGACGCAAACCTGTCAGAGCGAGGAGATGCTTACGCGCATGCGCTACCCGGTCTGGTTGCAAAATCGGTCGGCGACGGTCGCAAACTCACTGTCTGGACCTCAACCTTGAAGCGAACGATCCAAACCGCACGATTCCTCACATTCGAGAAGTTGGAATGGAAAGCGCTCGACGAACTCGACTCCGGCGTCTGCGACGGTCTCACATACGCTCAAATCGAACAGAAGTTCCCCGAAGACTTCAAGCAACGCGACGAGGACAAATACAACTACCGTTACTTGGGTGGAGAGTCATATCGCGATGTTGTCATTCGTTTGGAGCCCATTATCATGGAGTTGGAGCGGAGTGAGAACATCTTGATCGTTACGCACCAGGCCATCCTGAGGTGTATCTACGCATACTTCATGAACGTACCACAAGAGCAGAGCCCGTGGATGGAGGTCCCGCTACACACGTTGATAAAATTGACGCCCAAGGCGTACTCAACACAGGAAGAGAGACTGAAAGCCGACATACCGGCAGTCAGCACCTGGCGAGGTAAGGGCAGCAAGGCTGAGCATCAGCAGGCAAATGGCGGCACATAGCCTAACTCCTATCCAGCTCCCGGGGAAATCTGCGGCGCGCCTGCTCCCCTGGGAGCGGATGTTGGAAGAATCGTAACGAATTAGGCCAGTGCAAGTCTGGCTCGGCACTATAGACGGACAAAGAAGGTTACCAGGGATTTGCGCTTCGATCAAGTCGGACTTGATCTCTCGGCGCGTGTTAAGCATTGGGCATAGATTGGCATTTCAGCGTTTTGGTCAGATCACTAGACGGCAATATCCAAGGTCGACGGTCAAGATGGGAAGGAGTCGACGTCTCTAAGCATAGCAGTAGCTACTAGATATCAATGTCAAAAACCATTCGATATCAGATCGGTTCTCTATTTACCAAAATGCTCCGGGTTTACGAAAAGCTGCGACGCAGCAGCACACGAAGCACTAACAAACAAGCACGTACTACCAGTCTTGGGAAGCATGATGGTAGTGCCTCGTCGCTGCCACCTTCCCATCTCAGCCTCCCCCGCGGACATTGACCATCATCGCGACCCCACCCAAACCCCAAGCTCCTTCAACACCGCGCATACACAGCAACCCAACAACCTACTTCTCCCGCGAACGTCTCCATCGAACGTCGGAGCTCTTGCCTCAGCCCCAGCGATGCGATCATGACATGGCCACCCCCCAACCCCGGCGGCGTAAACCTCCAATTCATCGCCGAAGCGCAACAAATCATAAACAGCCACAACCAGCACCACGCGCACCAGCCCTCGTTCACCCACGCTACCGGCGGCCACGCACCCATCACCAACGACGAAATCGAATCAGAAGCCGCCTTCAACGCCCAGTTCACTGGACCCCCTACCATATTAGACTACGATACACTCAACGGTATTGGTTCCAGCAGCGGTGGACACGGCGCGCACCGCTTACATGGGCAAGCGCCACAAACAGGAGGGAGTAGTGCTGGTAAAGGGGAAGCTCCACCCAGTAAAACCACGCTAGAAACACGAAAGAGTCTGCAGGCGCGGGGCAAGAATTGGAATTCTTTCTCTAATGAGGCGCAGGGAAGGGCGTGGGAGGAGAGGCAGAAGAGGGATGAGGCGGTTAGTATATTGGAGAGCGAGGAGATGCTCATGTGGATTGCGGGGGTGAGGAATGAGGTATGTCCTGCGAATGATCACACAAGTTGGAGAGGAGATTGGTTGCTAATTCGTGGGTGGATGCAGAGTGCACCGCAAACGCGCGCGTTTTACCGTAACATCGTCCTCGGTCTCGAACAACCGCCTGCGGATTGGAATGATGAGTGGGAGGTACAAGGGACTGGAAGTGGAGCCGCAGAAGGGCAGGGTTTGGCTGGCAGTGGGAGTCCGGCGAGGAGTGGAAAGGGTAAGGAGAGGGATATTGCGAAGATGAGGAAGAGAGTTAGTTCAGGACAAGGACCTACTTGAACGGAAGGTTGTGAGTCGATGATAAGGTTCTTTGGCGTTACTTTGGATTCAAGGCGGATCGCGTTATACCCCAATTTTTTGTTTTGTTCGTATGAGGGACATTTGCAGTGGCAAGACGTACAACATTACTATTTTGCGTTGCGTAACTATTGCTTGCTTCCATCTTATTCTCATTTGTGTTCCAAGATCATACATGGCCTTCGCCAAACGCCGTGTCTTTCTTAGGTGCTGCAGCCCAAGCCTTTGCTAGCCCAGGCCTGACCGAACCCAAAGAACGATCGATACCTTATCACCAAAGGTCGCGGAAAATGCCAATGTCAAAGCCCATCTGTTGCCCCCGAACTTTCAACCACATCTCTGGACGATGTCTGCCAAACCGAAAATCGTACATCTCACATACCCTCCTCCATACCGACATTCCTCCACCAAGGCTTACCATCCTCGCCACTAGCCTTATCAGCAAACATATCTGCTGCATCGCCCACCTGTCTCCTCTCACTAATCTCTCTGCTGACCTGACCCGACAGCTTCAGCTTCATTGCCTTGCTCGCCAGGAAAGGGTTGTATTTTCGCGAACCGTTACCTTGCGCCATTCCTCGGGATGACCGGATGAGTTCGCTCGACGTCCATCCGCCCCTCATGACGGGTAATTGCTATTGCAGAGGTTCTGAGGAGGAGGAGAGGCGGTTGAGGTGGAGGTAGACATCTGTGCCGTATCTATAACCAATTTTGTTAGTGACGAGACTATCCTCGGGTGTGAGTGGGGAGCCTTACCCTTCCATGGAAATTAACTTCAAATCTCCTCCAAAGTAGCGCGCGTATAACCTTGAGATGGGTAATCCGTAGCCGAATCCAGCCATGGGTGCTTTGAAATCACTCTTGTTGAAGTCAGGGTCCAGGCTCGGTGTTTGGTCGACGGTCGTGTACATGTATGTCCATACGAGCGGTATCGATGATCGCGGGATACCGCCTCCTTCGTCTGAGATCTTGATTGTGATGTCCTCCTTGCCCTCTGCAACGATGACCTTGGTTACAGGGAACTCTTGTTTGTCCTGTCCATGTCTTTCCACCACAGCACGCAGCGAGTTCTTGAGAGTCTCGAAGAGCATATGCGACAAATGTCCTGGCACGTACATGAAGCTGATATCCGGGTTGCATACGAGCTGGACCTTCGGTGCATCAAATAGTCCGTAGTGGTCCTCACAGACGAAGCGCGCATTCTCAATAGCCTCCTGGGCCAGCTCTTGGACATTGGTCTTTGTGCAGATTATACCGACGTAGTTGGGATCGTTTCGCGAGCGTTGGTCTGTGAGGGCGATGTGCTGGCCGATGAGCATACGGATACCGATACGCGACATGTAAAAACGGTCAAGGAAGGCTTGGATGTTGTGGTCGATCTGCATCCTTTGCCTCTTGCGCTTCCACTCGAGGATGCCCTGTGCGACCGTCGTAACGACGCTGTCGTGCCGCCTCTTGATCTTCTCCAATGTGTCTGCGAACTTTGTGTTGTATGCGCCCAGCTCTGGCGGCCATTCCTGTCCATCGTCTGCCGCGGCATAGTATCTCCGGCTTGCGCCTTTGACTTCTTTCGTGATTGTGCCGCCGTTCCCGTTGCCATTGCCGTTACCGTTACCGTTCGTCGTCGGCGCGGACCGGTATTGTCCCGTTTTGATGCTGGGATTCTGCGTTGGCTTGCTCATGAGGTTCTTGTCGCCGGCTTTCTTCGCTGGTTTGAGGAGTCGCTCTTTGACCTCGCTCGAGAGGGTCGGCCGGGGCAGTTCGACGAGTTCCTGTCAGATGAGTCAACGCGCTCCAGCGAGAACCTTAGCAATACACACTTCGAATGACTGCGCATACCAGTCGCGCACTCTTTGGATCGATGGCATCTCATTGAGGCCATCTGGGAGTTCGTTGAGCTCTTCCACTCGGTGGGCTAACCGTATGGGCAGTTCTTCAGAAAGGAATTGTGACGCGCGGAAGAGGGTTCCCGTAGATGGCTTCTCTCCAAATTGCACCATTTGCCGTAAAGAGACACCTGGTGGTATGTCAGACGAATACTGTAAGTGAACATGCGTGCTGCATACCGGTTGCTGGAAAGTTGCTGTAGTGCTATCCAAATGTTAGCTACAACCGCGACTGTGCGACAGGCTCGCCCACCTTGATGGTGTCCATCAGCCTCTCGCTCCGTTTCCACGACATGATGCCAATTGTACAGGCCGAAACGGCCTTTGTCGCTGCGTATTCGCCAAAGTGGTGCTGGTGATGGTGGTGTTCACTGTCGAGCTACCCGAAGCACAGTTCCCGCCCCACTATGACGCTAATTGGTCTCGCTGCTACAGGCCGAGGTAACGGCGCGTCTGGATGCTAGGAAGCGGTTCAAGAAAGAGAAGAGTGAAGTGGAAGAGAGACGCATGTGCTCGTGTGCCCTATGACACAGACTAGATGGCTGATGTACACGGAGTCTTCCGGCGATGACACCACTGCGACGAGCACCTGCACTTCCCCCACACTTGACCTGCTTTCACGTGGAGAAGATGTGGAAAAGGCGCCACGAAGCCTCACGCTTTGACTGCTGGCATCCCGCAGCTGACGAGACACCATGTGTCTACTTTTTTGATTCTCTATTGCTTTTACTACCCACGCTGTCTAGCGAAACGAGTTGTTGCCATTGCAAGTCTTCCGCAAGCATCCATAAGCTCCAGCCACACGATCCTCGGTTAGCTGTCGGAGAAAGCACCGGTAGAGCGCATGTTCCTGGCTGCATGTTCCTCAGGTCCGAGGATGCAAGGTGCTCGCTGCTCGCGTGAGTCGCTCCCTAGAGGCTAGCACTAGACTATTCTTCTAGTCTGTACATTTTGTGGAAATGCCGCTCAACGTGTCAGAAAATTTGCGATGTATGCAATTGGCTCATCACCAGTTGGATGTTTGTAGTCTGAGATAAGAAACCGGTGCTTTGACCAATTCTGCCGTCTTTGAAAGTCAGTCGAGTGGAATCACTGGAGATTGCACGATGTTGGCGACTTGTTCACGGAAAATGATGAGCACATTGAATGATCGGTAGAGGAGATTTGGTATTCCGAAGTGCAACTACGTCCAAACAGGCTCTATGCCGCACCAAAGTCGAAAAGCGCCTTGAAATGATACACCTAACATAATCTACATGAAGGGGTATTGCGGTCTAACTGCGCTCACCGCCTCCGTCGTTCGTCTATCATCGATGATGGTACAATCCAAACAGTTTTTGGGTCGAAAAGGTATTATAGAAAGGTCATGGCGTGTCGATAGGATGGTATAAACGTTCGAGAGATGATACGCTTATTTGGTCTCGTTCTGGAGGAAGGTGATCAAGTCGTTGCGGTCCTTGGGCTTCTTGAGACCACCGAAAGCCATCTTGGTTCCGGGAATGTACTTCTTGGGGTTCTCGAGGTACTCGAACTGTGCTTCGTTAGCATGCATGCCCACCGAGTAAGCGTCTTCTTGTGGTATAACATACGAGAGTCTCGTTGCCCCACTCGACACCCTTCTGCTTGTTGGCGTCGGTGTATGAGAAACCCTCAACCTGACCGGACTTGCGGCCGAAGAGACCGTGTAGGTTGGGGCCGATCTTGTTGCCCTCGCCCTCCTTCAGGGTGTGGCACTGAGCGCAGCGGGTCTGGAGGTTCGTTAGACTACGTTCGGGAGGCGTGTTCGATGGCGCTAATGCCGGCTCGGTGTGTTCGTACCTTGAAGAGGTTGGCACCCTTCTTAGCATCGCCTGTGGAAAGCGTTAGTTATATGTGGTGACAAATTTCTTTGCCCAGCCAAACAATCCGCCACCGTCCGCCCTTCGTCGCAAAGCTGCCACCTTGCGCTCACCGCTTCATGAGTTGTCAATTATTCGGACGGTACACCGGGAATAATTGAGTCCTCATAGGAGTCGGATATTGGTATGCGCGCAGACCCAATGGGTAGCAGACGATGGTCGACAAAGTGACAGACGGCCGATGACGTCTAACCGGTGTCAAGAAAACGTACCCTGCTCGAAACCCATTTTGAAGATGTGGTGGTGGTTGGGGTAAGATTGAGTGTTGGTGGAGGTGGAGTGGTGAAAGTTAATGTAACTTTAGTCGTGACTGCGAGGTTGTGAGAGGAAAGATGGCCAAGTAGGAGTTGAGAGGCTTGAGAGAGTTTTAAGAATCTTGCCGTTAGCCGCGACGAAATGACGGGCCCAGGGCCCTGACGCGAGCACGGGTCACGGGACTAGCCAATCAGGCGACAGGTATAACTCAGTAGCAAAAAGTGCTCGGGTGGAACCGGTCCGGGATGGCAAACAGGAATCGCGATCAAATGGCGGTGCACTCGCCGCATCAGGCCTCTGTTCCTCAGCCAACTTGCCGTCGCTACTCGGAGTACTTTCACGCCACGCCGTCAATTGCGATTCACACTATCTCGCAACTTACTCGGCAATCTCGCATCAAGCTTGTGGGATGATGCCGTCACCAAGTGCTGCGCTGGCTGCTGCGAGTCTTTTTAGCACTTGTACTGCCGTCAATCATCGTGATGAATTTCGCTCTTCTTTCCTCCGGTGGTAGAATAAGCAGCGTCTGGCCTATTTCGTTGCCCTGCAGGACGCTTCTTCCCTGCTTTCCCTGGCCCGAATTCGATATGTGAAGCCTGTACAAGGGTCCGCAAATCGATGTGACATGCCCACTAACCCGCGCACCTCCACGCACCTGGTTCCCTAACATGACGGGCCAGGGTCATGAATAACGTTCTCTGTTATCTGCACAGCAGCACATTACTATTTCAAGCGCCGGCCAGGATCGACACTATTCTGCCCTCTTTGCAAACAGCCTTCTAGTCTTGGTCAGTCGCACTTCAGCCCCAGCTCGACGATTGACATCATCGTGCCCCGCCACACCTCGACCGACCGGATGGACCAGATTCCGGGCATTCTATACGCCGATGAGGACTTTACCACATGGCTGATACTCGGCGCCAGCAGAGGCATAGGGCTAGAGTTCGTGAGACAGCTGTTAACTAAGAATGAGCGCATCATCGCTACTGTACGGGAGCCTTGGGCCGGCCATGCCAGCGGTCTGTGGGGACAAGCGGGGAGCGATCATGGCCGGTGCCAAATGTACACATGCGACATATTGTCAGAGCAAAGCATAGAGGTGTGTGCTGTTGACGATGGCGTTGTCATCCCAGAGGGAAACTAACTGGCGATCCGCAGAAATTCGTTGCGCAACTGGCCATGATACCGAACCTGAAGATAGACTACGTCGTACTAAACGCAGGAGTGCTAAGATACCCAAACGTAAGTCCGACATTGTCCACAGCATGCAAGGGAGCCGCACTAACCGAAGTAGAGGGCCACTGAGCTGTGAGTCTTCCTTTACCGTTGCCGTTACGCCTTGCTGGTTATGGCTAAAGCGTGCATTTCCAATAAACGACAATCAATCTGAAGTGGCTGAAGTACTGGAAATTGACATTTTCTAGGTCTTTCGACGAGTTCGCCTTCCATTTGCACACCAACACCATTGGGCCCATCATCACAGCGCAGAAGTTGCTGAAAACAAACATACCAATCGGCACCATCGTCTTCATGTCCAGCGATTCGGGCTCGCAAGGTAATTTCCGGGAGATGGAGGACGGGTTCGCTGCATATGCTGCGTCAAAAGCTGCACTCAACATGGCAGTAAGGCACATGGCCGCCGAGCTGAAGAGAAAAGACGATGATACCATCATCTTGTGCATGCACCCGGGAGAAGTCGCAACAGACATGGCGAACGTTCAGCTACCGTGGGAAGTCCAGGGCATAATCACACCAGAAGAGTCAGTGATGAAGATGATCGAAGTGATCAAGAGCAAAGGCATACAGCACAGTGGCACTTTCTGGACTTACGAGAACAAGGTCAGTGCCTCACACCCCACCCGCGAATCAATTACTGACATTGACCTAGCCGTACATCTGGTGACAACTGAAGATATTCGTAACGTTTACGACTCTCATATCCTTGCATGCTCTTCGCAAAATCTCCGCTAGGCAGTACCTATACCCACATACTAGAATGTATATGCATTGTTGTTTCATGACCTTTGCTACCGCTCCCTTTCCATGAATCTTCCATGCTCGTCGCCGTGGTCCAATTTCATCCACCACAACCTCTATCAAGCAATCTCGCCGACCATCCGACGAACTTCATCTGTGTCCCAATCCAGCCTCTCAGCACCAGTAGGTAAGCTATAGTCGACCAGAATCCGCACCGGCCTGATCGGTTTCGCTTTGTCCTTCTCCATCCTGCGACTCTTCTGCGCGCGCCGTGCCGCCTCCATGACATGTTGTATCTTCCTATCGGACTCTCCGACCACATACTTGCTGGCCATATACGCCTGCGACTCTGACGCTGAGAGGCCGATCACACCACTCTGTGTCATGACACTGTCTTCGCGTTTCTGTCGCTTCCGTTGATGCAAGTTTTTGTCTTCGTCACGCTCACTCTCAATGATGACAAGAGTCGGGGACGAAGACTTGGTGGTTGGGGAAGACGGGGTCTTGTTGTTGGACGCGGCACTGGCGTTCAGATACCTCCAGAACGAAGGGCAGCCGCATACACCATCTTGTTCTGGATTTCGGGGACACTTGCGTTTTGCCATTTTCGTGTTGGCTTGTGTTAGGTTGTGCCAAGTGTGAGCACACACGGAAGTTGTGTGGTTATTGCGATCGAAGTTGGCAAGGACAGAAGATAGAGGCGAGGACGCGAACTTATATTTGATGGGGCTATGGCAAGTGGGGTTTGGCTGTGCATGTACAACGACGGTGACTTTACGCAACAACGTAAGGGTGAGCGAATCTCTTACTGCAGTAAAGGCGAATGATGGGGTGACACAGGGTGGAAGTGACCGGTACCTTCACCTGGGTATATTCGTCGAACCTCGAGTCTAATAACAGAGCCCTTAACCCATCATATCAATATCATACAAACCCTCTACAAGATCATCTACCACAGTCTCCCAACGACGCGCACCGCAATTTTAACCGCAACCAATGTCCCCACCGCCAAAACCCCCACTCCAATCCCCAACGCCTTCAAATTCCTCATCTCATTGCTCAACGCCACTTTCTTTCTCTCCCCGATATTCCCCAAATGCGTCAACGTATCATACTGCGGCACGTACTTGAAGTCAAACGATGTTTCCGTCCCCGCCAGCCCCCACTTCGCCTTCACTATCAGCGTCCAGAAGATCTCTTTCGCGCGGTCGATCCTCCTGCGATCTGCATTGGGAAACAGGCGGTATGTGTAGCAGTAAAAGATGAAGAAGAGACATTGGCCTGCCATGAGGGACCAGTAGTATGCGGAAACGCGTTTTAAACCGAGGCGGTCGCAGAGCGCGTTGCCATTTAGCCAGCGGGCGCTGGCGGTTAGCATGTCGGCCGATGAGAAGGTCGGGGGCTCTTCTTTGAGTGCATAAATGATGTTGTTGGCCATTGTTTTAGACATTTCGGAGGGGTCGACTTCGTGGTAGAGGAGCGATTCCATGATCGCTTTGGCTTTCGTTGGGGTGGATAGCCACTCGTCGGGTGTGCCCATTAAGTAGCCGATGTAGCGCCATAAGGCTAGGTAGTCGTCGATTTCTTGTTTGCGGAGGAAGATGCCTTGGCGGGGGAAGCTGAGATAGATCAGAGTTGATGAGAAAGTTCCGATTGTGGCTATTTGGTCCAGGTCATTGATTGGTATTCCCCATTCTTCCACGTTGAAGTAGCTTGGGCGTTCGTTTGCGAGTTTTATAATGCGCTGCCGGACCGCGGCATGTAGGAAGCGGACGCGTATCGATGAGGCGAAACCTTCTCCACCTGGTTTAAGTCCATCCAGTGTTCGTGTGCATTGGAGGATGTGCTGTGTAGTTTCAAAGAGTCTGCCTCTTGCTACCTTTGTGCTGAAGCCTCCAGTTCTCGCTAATGTCTCCACCACCCGCGCAGCGCCCATGCCACCTAAGAGTGACTGAAAAGTGAGACCTGTCAAAGCGGGTCCTCCATAGCGATAGAACACATCCTGTCCTCTGGCGATCTGGTCCCAATCCACCCAATCCGGCACCGTATGCACTTCGCGCCACAGTTCCGCAAGCTTAGGATCAGAGTCGTGATTTTCTTCCAGTAAAGCGTATAGATCCCTCTTGGGTACCGGCAATGGCTCTTTTTTCTCTTCTTCGGTGCCCGGAACTGATGATAGCGCGGCGCGGTTGCTATCGTTCCTTGGCAGAGCACCCTTGTGCGGTGGCGAGATGGCGTTCAAACGATCAAGACATTCCTCTGCTAGTACATCGTACGAAAACTTCATAGGCTTCATTTGCTCCGGTGTAAGATGTTCAGGCGTCCATTCGAATCGATATCCCCAGCAGCTGATAGCGGTTAGTGTGCGCCATCGATTGTCTTCCGCTTCTGGACGTACTCTTTAGTGTTGGCTGTTCGCCTCTGGAACAGATTTGGCATAGCCATAATTGAGTGAATGATAGAGAAACACAGGTGGACGATGTCGACACTGTCAAACACTCAGATATTCGACAAGAGATAATTATTACACGATGTACGGCGAAGATGGTCCGTCATATGATACCGAGGCCTTAGCGCGCATGGGTATGAGGGGATCCACTTCCATTTTTGCCGCGATCGCCCCGCGATCGATCTTGCGAGGAAACTGCGACGGAAGCGTTCGCTGTCGAGATAGCGTGAAGAGGCAGGAGGCACTGACGCATGTTCGTTGATGTCACCACTCCGTCGCGTACTAGTGCGGCACAAAATCCCAAAGTCTGGAGAGCGAGCCAATTTCGACGTAGCGTTGCACCTAGTGCTGGGTCAACCCGAACGGATCCTGAATGCCGACGAAAACTACAAGTACATCATGTGTGGTTTCCTTTCACTCTCCCTCCGAAATGCTCCTCAGAATGTGAATAGCGGGAGCCTTTCAACGACCCAGTACGTGTAATACAGTGCCGCGACTTGCTTTGACGGCGTCCCCATCCTACTCTTGCTCACAATGGCCATACCGAAATCACCGAACCAGAAGAGCCCGCAGCTGAGCAGGACCGCCGCAACACCAAATGCCGCACAATTCTTGAACTTGTACATAATGCATATCAAGATGCCGAGCAAGGTTTTCAATCCAGTCAAGCCAATCCACACAAGTAGAACAATAAAGATGGCAGAACCGAGAAGGCTTCCGACATCGCCATCGTCTTCTTCGACTGTGGAGTGGGTGTCAGTCTGCCTTGCACACGGATGAAATCAGCGCAACTTACAGGGAAACTCGTAAAAGGCATATATGGAGAAGCACGACACCACTACGAGAGGGATCCCCCAAAAGGATGTCGAATTACTCCAACCAGGATGTCCAACGCACATGCGATGTATATGGATGATATCTATTAGAGCATGGAGGACGATTTGCATTCCCGCAAGTATGAGCAGGGGACGGGAGCCCTTTGTGCGAGCCATCGTAACGCCAGAAAGGATGATCGAGATGAGCGATGAGATTGTGACCACCGCGATATTCCAGCGTTCTTTTTCCAAAGCCATCCATGGGAGCAAAGGTCTTCTGCCGAAGAAGTGACAGAGGATTACGTAGAAGGTCAAGCCATGGGAGACCGCGCCGAGGACACCGTAGGGTATGCCGTAAACTTCGATGTGCTCTCTGAGGTTCTTCGCGTTTGTGGTAACGAGGTCGCGGGGCTTGGGGCTCGATATACGAAGGTCGGTCGGGAATGCGTCTGCTGCGAATGTGAGATAGCCCCCGATTAGTGCCATGGTGAAGAGTTGGCGAAGTCGTATGGTCATCTTGGAAACTGTTGATTGCTTGCTGTGGGGAAAGAATGAGAGTTCAGGGCAGGGTGATTTAGAAGTCACAGCCAGAAAACAGGAGGAAGCAAGCACATGTTTGAGCTGCTGTTGGGCTTTCTTTGATGTGTCGTATGAGATGGTCGCCGAATTGCCATCCCTCAATAGAACGACTTCCACCGAAGGCGCACCGCGACCTGCGCAGCGTTCTACATCTGGGCATGAAGTTGAGGATGTTGTAGCACACCGTTTACATTAGCGAAAGCCTTCCGTTGCTTGGGAGTAATTTCCGACCAATGGAAAAAGCCATTCGAGTCAGCCGCAGTTTGCAGCCTTGTGACAGCTACCGTCACTTGTTCAGCAGCCGCTCGGTATGTCTGCGGAGACTTTTTCAATATCGTGTGTACATGGGGTGAAGCTGAAAAAGGTTCGAATTGACGAGAGCTGGTCGCAGGAAGCGAGGTGTTGTCTTGGCTTTGGGGGCTGAAGCAGTACCACGATGAGGCTGTTGTTCGGTTTTTGGGAAGCAGAAAAGGCCAGAGTTTACTGGAAGAAGGAGGATTCAGATAGATGACAGCAAGAACAGAATATGATAAAAACGGTATAGCTTTATGGATGAGAGGAATGAAAGACAGGCTCAAGCTGTTCGGATAATGCACCAGGCAAGGAAACCGAAGATACGAAGAGAGGAGATCATCGAGATTGTTGCATACGCTCTTAGAGACACTGCTATTGATGCCGAGTAGTAATGGTCGTATCGCTGTCCGACTTCCCAAAGATATCGGCTACGAGCCTTGAGGGCGTTGTCATGCGATAAGAGGAGGCTCCTGCTCTCTGAGTAGCGGATCTTTGTTTCAAGAAAAGACATGGAATGCCTTGATTCGGGTTAGTCGTCTTGACGCATTGAGATGTTCCGTTTACAAGTCTATGACTGTGTTATCGGTATTAGAGTGCATGTTAGTCGCCCGCCTGTGGCAAGAGGTGAAGGTCCGTGCGATAGCCTCAGGAACTTCGAAAGGAAAGCACTATCGATACTGAAACACCAACAACCATGAGTTGCCACAATTGCGCCAGAACGACGCTGACCCTGTTCATCCGCTCCTTCGTAAACACCGAGCAAGTCCTCGCTGCTCGACGACCGCTACTCCGTCCGCAACGACCGCGGTTCTCGACCGATGCGCGCCGACTGCGCAAAGTAGGGCCTGTAATACCCACCGCGGAACCACAAACAGCGGAACCGAAACAAGCCGAGATAGAAGATGCTCTCACGGGAGAGTTCGAGCGAGAACGAAGGCGCGAGCGCCCAGCGTGGGCTGTACAAAAGGAAGCGCTGAAAGAGAAGCTGGGAGGCGAGGCATGGAGCCCGCGCAAGAAGTTGTCGCCCGACACCATGGAAGGCATACGGCATTTGCACAGCACACAACCCGATAAGTTCACCACACCGGTCCTCGCGCAACACTTCAAAGTCTCGCCCGAAGCCATTCGCCGCATACTGAAGAGCAAGTGGCAACCCTCCGACGCAGAATACGAGGCCAGGATGGAGAGGTGGAACAAGCGCGGAGAGAGGATATGGTCGAACCTGGTGGAGATGGGTGTCAAGCCTCCCAAGAAGTGGAGAGATATGGGTGTTGGTCGAGCAGAGAATGGGGAGGCGCCCAGGTGGAAGTCAAGAGATCGGAATCAGGTGGACGTCAGGGACAGCGTCCACGACGACTTCAAGGACTATGTTCCGGACGAGGAGCTCATACCGACTGTTGGCAAGTCTGGTAGGTCAAAACCGACGACCAGCCGCGTGCCGCTATTCGAGAGGCTTTGAATGGCGGAACTCCCCATATACGGTATCGAAGCGGAAGACTGTACACCATACAGGAAACAATGATTGAAATGTACATCATGACTTTGCGAGGCAATTCTGTTCGAGTGTTTGGATACTTGCGTTCGCACGTCCAGTTGGCTATCTAGCCGCATACTACAGGCCTGGCTCACCGAGATAGCCGCTCTCAGGCATCACGATCGTATTCTGAGCATGCTTATGATGTAGCTCTGAGCCATCGTATACACCGCAGCGTGGGCATAAGTAGTCCATATCAATAATAAAGGTATTGCTGACCTACAGCTATACGTTCTCTGTGATAGCTTTTACCAGACTATTCGCTTGGCTCACAAACGGTCAGCCGTCATCAGCGGATTTGGTTCAAAGCACACCGGTAGAGCAACCGCATAGTGCACGTACCACATCGACCAGGTTATGGGATATGGACGCGGGAGATGACATGGCCGGAGTCGTGTCTTGGCGGATTGAGGCGGAGTAACCGTCGCCGCTTGCATGACTTTGAACAGGTGTGGTTAGAAGACTTACATTCCACCAAATCAGCGAGCCCGAGGCGGGCTGGGCACCCATCAATGTGGACCTCTGCTGCAGATCTCAACGCCTGCAGGGAACAACATGTAATGACAAGCGTAAAGCCACCACATTGCGCACAGGACATCTCTTCAACGACCATAAGAGCTCTTGAGGTCCGCTTCTGTCAATCATGCGCAAGACAATCTTGGAAGTATCGCGACACTCCTACCCCACGCAAGCAGTCATGTCTCAAGCGTACAAATACATACCCTTTCTCCTCTGTGTAGTAACCGGCACGTCTGCTTTACCCACAGTGCATAGAGCGGAAGCCGATACTATGAGACAATGGTCCAACGAAGCCATCTTTACCTTGCTTGGTGTTTGCGTAGCCGTGGTCGGCATCCTGGTTGGCCTTCTCTCTTCACCTAAGTTGCGGCAGTGGCTGTGCAAGCCATTTAGATGTAAGCAACCCTACCTACCCCTGCTTCAGCTTGTGGAGAGCTTCATGGCTGACATACACGTGCCTCACAAAGACTTCTCCAAGAGGAGACGGATGGAACGATTACAAACACGCGTAGACGCCAGACGACAGTTCCAAGAACAATACAATGAATACCTCAGATTCAACGACTTTCTTGAGATGCGAGGAGAGGCTTCGGGGGTTAGTCGACCTTGATGACAGCAGAAGGCGAGCTACTTGGTGCGTTGGAAGTTTAGAGTGACGGAAAGCAGGACTGTTTCTTTTTTTTTTAACTTCACATTATTCTCATCCTGTCTCACACAATGTATCCTTCTTATACCCACTCGCGTATTTTGAACACTATCTTTATCAACAATATTATTCGTCTTGACTAAACTACTACGACATCCACCACACTCATCTACTCCGTCATGTCCAGCACAACCCGACCCTGCAGCTTGCCCGCATGCATCTCATTGAAGACATCAGTAAGCTTATCCATCTTCTCCGTCCTGAAATGGGTCTTAACAATACCCCTCGCAGCAAACTCCATCGTCTCAATGGCCTCCTTCCGCGATCCCACAGCCGATCCCACAATTTGCAGCGCTTTGGCGACCATAACTCCAGGGTTTGCGCTCTTGATGGGTACAACGTCGCCCTCGGGAATACCAACACACACCACGCGACCGCCGAAACGAAGTAGGTCAACTGATTGAGCGTAGGCCATGTTGTTCGCTGTGCATACAACAACGGAGTGAGCACCGAGACCGTTTGTAAGTGCCTGAACAGCTTCGACCATGTTCTCTGTGCCGTCTACGGGGATGAAGTGTTCAGCGCCGCTTTCCATGACAATGTCCTTCTTGGAAGAGTGGTCGATGCCGATGACGCGGTGGCCAATTCCCCTGGCACTGAACTGCACGGCCAAATGACCTAGTCCACCTCCAGCACCTGATATCACGACCCAAGCACCTGACTCAGCGTTTGTCTTGCGGAGCGCAGAGTAGACTGTTACGCCAGCGCATAGGAGCGGTGCAGCGGCTGCGGAATCGAGGTCGTTGGGGATGGGCGTGACGTAGTTTGCGGGAGAGAGGACGTATTGTTGGAAAGTTCCTGGTGTG